TCTTGTGACACCCTTATATATCACTGACTGATAATATTAGCTGTAGTCTAACCAGATGTGAATCAGATGTAAGAAAAAGGAAAATAGCAGCAGCTCCATACCAGGGCTCCTTACTTAAAGTCACTATTAAACTACCACAGGGTAAAATATGTCTGTTTCAAGCTTCAAATAAAACACAGAGCATCTTTTACAAGCTTCAGATGTCCATGTTTGTTCCAAAATGACCATAAATGTTGATGTGCATTGCCTTTATCTTAGTTCTAACATACTACTAGAATCACATATGGGCACTAGCATAAAACTAGCATTTTTGTGTGTGGTTTTTTTCTATTTTGACATTTATGGCTCAGAACTGAAGGCCTAGCAGTAATAGGCATGGTTCGACACTGTATGTAAGTGGTAGGTGAGGTGAGCCATCAACTGGATGGTTCCGGGTTCAAATCCCACAACTGACCAGGTATACCTGGTTGTGCCCTTGTTCAAGGCACTTAACTCCCCCACTGGTGATGCCATGCTGCTCCCAGATTGGGCATAGTTAGGCAGCAAAAAGATGAATTTCCCTTGTAGTACCAATAAAGTACATAACATAACAGCACTCTTGGTCTAAAACAAAATGCTAAAGCTCCAAAGTCAGAGGTGGCCGATAACAAAGCAGAACAGATGCTGTCACCAATGTAACATAATGAAATTAAGCAGAAAAAAGGAATTAGTAACAAAATATAGTAACACAAGTTTGAGTAAACATATGATTTGAGAAGATTCAGGAAAGTACAAATCCATCAAACTTTTACTTGAGTGCATGTCACAGAGTCAATATAACTTGTTATACCCACCTCTAATCTTTTAGATGAGTTGGTGGCTGGATCAGCAATTGGACATGCAGGCCAAGTGGACCAGGGTCTGGACCTTAAAGGGTTCCAAGGTTGTGCGTCCCCATGTTCAGGTATATTTCGCATCATCCATGAATTACAGAGCCTCAACCTTCTCGTCAGAGGCCCAATCAGCAAAGCTTGCAATGTCAAACATCTACACAGTTAGTAGTTTATCTACTGTCTCTACTGACCCTTTGGCTAGACTTGCCAGCCTTAGACACATGCAATAGTGGATTACTTTAGGGAATTGGTCAAAATAATTCTTTCCATGATTTTATCTGCTTAATTAGAACAGAAATGATTGTCCCATTAGTAAATATTGACACCTAGTGGTTAGAGGGAGTCCCTTCATAATTACTAGCTATACTTCTTTCTGTCTTCTTTTAGCTTGATGGTTCATCCACTGTTTTTCAAGCTTACAAAACATTTTATTAAGTGATGAGAGTGCCATGTTTAGCCATATTGTGGGCTGGAAACCTCACATTGTGTATACTGGATCATGAAAATTCAGTGTAAATTGTTGGGTTGTACATTTGAGGTTACTTAGCTGGAGGTTAGGTTATAAATTCAGATTTAATCCACTGAATTAAAGTTTAGCTCAAGTATAGACCATAAAATTAATGATGAAAAAGACAAAAGTTTGAAGGAAAGACTGAATTTGCCTTTGCAGAGTAACAAAACAGAAAGCTTTCAGAAAGCATTTCTTTTCCATTCAGTTCAATCATGGTATATTAACTGACACTATGAGAGTACATCCTTTGTCAGATCTCCTCAGCAGAGGAAAAAACTACAGAAGCCCACAGAAAGAAAACCGTCTAATAACCCTCACCCACCACCAGCCAACCACAAGCCTAAAACCCATGATTGCTAACCTCACTCAAACCCTACCTGAGTAACTTTCTAATCATAACCCTAACAGCCTACAGCTCAATCTTAAATCAAACTCCCAATAACAGAAGTCCTACCTGTACAAACAGCTAACTTGACTAACCCCACACTACTCCCATCTGTTTTATTCTTCTAAATATTTTGAAAAACAGTAGTAAGAATTAGTGAAAAATGGTAGAACAAGGTGCTGTGTTACAGCACATCATATAAGAAGTGCATAGTTTTGGCTTCCTGACTGTAGCAAAGCTACACAGTGCAGCACAGAGACACAGAGCCAAAATCCCAAGTTTATTTTCTTGCTGAAGAGGTTCTTGGAGAGCGGTTATATTTGGACTTTTAAATGAGAAGTGTGCCTGAAGGCTTCTAGTAAGCTACATGTTTCCCCTAGAATTCATAGGAACATGTACCTTTCTATGCCTAATATTTCCCAAACCTGCCTGCCAGAAAAGGCTTTACACTGACCGTGCACCTAGTCCAGTCAAGACAACCCCCATGATGTTAGGATAGGGAGCTGGAAAGACTGCTAAGACTCTATGAAAGTCAACCTGAAAACAAAAGCGACCTCTTTTACCTCAGCAGTTCATGTTCATAATAAACATTGTTCACTGCAAAAATTAAAAATTCTTGTTTTTTCATGTTCATCAAAACAAATTAGATTTAACCTGCTCTGACCAACTCATACAACAGTATATAACAGTAACCAATAATATCATGTTTCAACTTCTCTTTGCCACCACACTTACCTTATCATCAAGCCCAGTAAACTCAGACTTCCTAATATAGTTAAAATCACAGTAGAGGGAAAATATGTTACGATTTCCGATTCACATTTATGTTAAAGTTGTCCTCATCTTTTTCATTTGATTGACATCATGATAGCACATGATATTATAACCATCTGATACCACGAACTGAAGAGAATCTTCTTTCTCAATTCTTTAAACAACAGACTGTTTATTATTTTGTCTATCAAAACATATTGGAGTTATAATTAAAATGAGTGTTTTACAGGTGGAAATATACAAGACATCTGGTTATGTACGTTATGTAGCTGTCTAGAAGCTGGGTTTCCACAGGTGATCAGAAAATATGTTGCCCAAACTACTGTAATACTTTCTTAAGAGCACCAAAATTTGATGGGCTCTCAGAGATAAACAGACACGTCAAGATGAAAAGGAAAAGGAAACAAGTAGAAGTCTTCATAAATCAGACACAAAAACAAAACGTGTGATATTTATCTCAAACTGTGTTGAACTACTTGCACTATAGCATGCACTTTGTTGGCACATTTTTCTTTTGATGTGGTGCATCCCACGTTCAGACAAAAATGGACTGACATCTTGTCATACTCTGTTTTGGTTCAAGAAGATGCACTGGATGTGAAACGGGCTAAAAATATGTCATCCCATTTGCCCTCGGTTTCTGGCTCTGAGTAAGTATAGAGAGTTTATTTGTACCAGAAATAAACTACAGCGAATGAGATGGGGAAGGACGTCTGCAGCCGTGTTCAGCGAACCAGAATGCTACAATCTGTTAACCAAGTTCATCTGTCAGTCTACGTACATGTTATTTTACATACCATGCAACCATCTCAAAATACAATAAACAGATACCAAATTAAAATCTGCAGCAGGGGTGGGAACTCCAGTCCTGGAAGCACAGATTCCTACAGAGTCTGGTGATTTTCCTGCTCAAGCACACCTGCCCCAACTCATCAGGTAATTACCAGGTTTAGTTAGTGTGCTAGAGAAGGAAAACTGCCTTACTGTGCTGGACGTAGCTCTCAGTTCCCCACCCCTGGTCTATAAAATGTTATGTTCAAGATGCAAAAGTACAGAAAGTGAGGGCTGCCACGCACACAGATGTAGGCATTTCAATCCTCACAACAATTTGATTAGGTAATTTTTTTAAGTAAACCATCAATGCATAATGAAATGAACAGGGATTATTATTTTTTAACATACACCGCATGTGCACGTGACTGGAAAAACAGTCACTGAGTATTTTTTAATCAATTACAATTAATATTAACTATATTAAGTCTTCACTATCAGATCAATGCATAAAGATGCAGTGATGCATTTTTTTTACATCCTTTCTTGGAACAGGTTTGGAATGAATGCACTTGGATCAAAATGGATCAAATTTTTTTCGATAAACTTAAAAAGATTGTTCTTCAAGTTTTTTTTTTTGTAAAGCGAACAGGTTTACTTAGAACCATTAGTTCGATATAGAACCATTTCATGCTTAAATAGTTCTCTGCATGGTGAAAAGGTTCCTTAGATTGATGGAGAATGTGTTGTATATGGTTCTACATTTTTGAAAATGGTTCTGCATAGCACCAAAAAGGGTTCTTCTGTTGCTACAACCTTGACATCGTAACATTAGAAGAATCTTTTTTGGTGCTTTACAGAACCATATACAACACATTCTCCATCAATCTTAAGAACCATTTCCCCAAGCAAAGAACCCTGTAAGCATGAAATGGTTCTAAATAGAACCATTGTCTTTACTAAATAACCCTTGAAGAACCATGTTTCATATCAAATTGAAATTCTGCCTAATATTCACCAATAACACAAATAGTTTTATTCATTGACTTATGATCTAAAGAACTGAGGATGATTCTGGACAGCACTAACATTGTTATCCTCAGCCAGTGCGTTCATCACTCTCACTTTACTGTTGCTATACTGCCATCTAGTGTTTCTGTTAAGAAAACAAGCCAAGCTACAGTCAGCCATTTTGTCAAGCAGTGACATCATGTGAAAGTTTACAGTGCAGCAAACAAAAAGGCTAAAATGCAGAACCATCTTCAAACCCCCGGATGGTTCAGCTGAAACGTTTGATGAGGAACTTGAGCACATGGCAGGAATTTTCCCTGTGGTAAACCTCCCCAAAACAAACCGCAATCTTCAGCATGACTGTGTATCTAATTTCAAAATCACAACCCACGTCCAAAGAAGCACATTGCCAAGCCTTCATATGACAAATCTAACCACACAAAGCATCAGGCAATGGCAACCAGCAGATCACCCGGAAGATTACTGACTGCTGAAGCAAAGAATATCGTTGGTCTCATCATGTATCCAAAATCAACAACGCTAATGTCAAGCTAAACCAAATGTCAGATAATAACTGAGTGATGTAAAACACCAAAAGATCCACAAAAAGTGAAGATCATTCTGAAGATGCAAGGCAAGAGTGAACATCCAAAAAAGGCAGAGAAAATGACACTGGTCATCAGTTAATGTACTTTAATCTGAAAACACTGAGTTCAAGCTCAATAAAACCACAGGTTTAACATGTACAATATTTTAGTAAATGCAAAAAGTAAAAGAAAAAAACAAAAGTAATTCTACAGTGAAGTTTTATCAAAACAATTCAATGAAATACCAAACTCATTTATTCACATGAGACAAAAGTTCTTCTTTTGTGCTTACTAATAATCATTCTAAAAATTTGCCACAAAGACTAGAAATTGGAAAAAAATAAAAATAAAAATGAGATGAAGTGTGACAGTTTGCACTATGGTATTGCAAATTCATTGTCCTTGACACAAGCCATTTTCTTCATTTTGCATTGTATTATATATGGTATATACATTGGTCTAGCAATACGATATTAACAGAGTATGCTGATGTAAAAACAAACAAACAAAAAATGCCTCACTAACAAATGATCATTCACATACAAAAAAAAATACAATTCTTAGAACGTCGGGCTCATGTTCACAGGTGAGTAGTTTGGTCGCTCAGGCTAGGCAGAGCTGTGTGAATGTACAAAAAAGGCCCATTTAAAAGATGTGAAACATTTAAAAGATACAAGGAAGGTCAAAGAGTTGTGGTTTGGTTGTTGGCACAGTCGAGGAACCTCGCCTCGTTATTGATTGCGATAAAAGCATCAATCAAGAAACCCAATGCAAGCATCAGTAGCACACGAGAACACTTCACACTCCACATTGAAAGGTCACCATGCCTCAGAGAAGTAAATGAACAGAAGCTCACACAGTCCAGTAAGCGAGAGATGTTCAGGGTATGAGCTAATGAAACAAATAACCCAGGCTTTATTTTCCATAAGTCTTAAAGTATTCCCTTTTGCTCTTTTCTCCTAGTATGACCTCCTCAGAGAATCACAGGATCTTTGACTTTGTTGTGCATGATTAGTCCCAAGCTTGTCCTTACACAGCATGCATGTCTCTGATCCAGGAAAGTAGCTGTACATAGAACAGCTCGGCCTTTTTTGGCCTTTCATGAGATGGGAGTGTTCTCTTGAAGTGGTGTTTGGTAGGTCCACTCGGTTAAAGAGGACTTTGCGTACCAGACAGCGGCTCAGAAGGACGACAGAGAAAACCACAATCTCCAGCAGTGTAGACTGATAACCAGCTCACCTGCCACTGCAGGAGACCAACTGCAACTTCCAAACCTTAATGTGAGGGATCCAGAGCAGAGGAGATATAGCAGATCCCGTGGCATTATGTGCATGCGAGAGGTCTCCTGAGGAGACAGTGCACACTTCCATATGGCACTTTCTCCTTGGACCAGATGTGCTCTTGTCTGAATGCTGCAGCCTAAGGTTCAAAGGTATAAGTTATGGTCTGTAATAGCCTAATAACTACTATTTCATGGATGTATGAGATCAGCACTCTAAGATGCATCAGAAATATGGACCTTGAAGAAAAAACCCTGGACATTTTGGTCCTTGGTAGATCATACCGAGCAACTGCAGAGTTACAGGAGTTCCAGAAGGCAACCATCCTTTCTCTGGGAGTGGCCGCCTATTTCTCCACCTCAAGTCCATACTGCTTCACAGATGAGGGGAAAAGAAACGCAACCTGAACAGCAAAGTCCATGTCCAAGCTTGCTCAGCAGTCCGTCCAGTTCATAGTTCATGTACAGTACAGAGAAGTTCTCAAGTACGTTTCATCGTTTTTTAACAACAGTGGCGACACGTTTCAACGACGAACCCTTCTGAGGAGGGTGAACAGCTGCAAGCATGCAAGACAAATGTAGCAGATAACCGATAAACCATAGGCAGAGACATGTAAGAGCAAAAATAACATTAAGTGGTCCCCAGACACTCCACAGTTCGGTTGCAGAGTATTGTGTCAAATGCAGTATCCAGCTAAGGTCAACAGCGGCCAAAGCTATCTCAGGCTTGCCTTCCCTTCCAGTGGGTACGATGATATGTCAAAGTGGACTCAGCTGAATGAGACTCAGTGCCCAAACAACACTCAATGCCAGTTTGTGGTCAAGTAATCCAACGCAGCTGAGTCGGAGTTCAACCTCCTTCTCAAACTCAACCTCATTCTCATGTGCAGGCATCGCAGTGTTGCTGGGAGTATTCCAGCGTGGGTAAGCGAGACAGCTTGGTCTCATTTGGACCGCACCAGGAACCTCTGAGTGGTTGTTTATATGCAGTTCGTATGGTGGAAAACAGGAAGGACAAACTTGCACAGGGGCTTTCCAAAGCTTCCACATCAGCTTTTCCATCAACACTACCCCACCTAAGAGAGCTCACAATGAAAGATTAAACTAGAGCTAAACCCCAAGCCCGTTTTCAACCCCAAGCTGACTATTGCTACTTTTTTTCCCCTTTTCATATACATAATGGCAGTATTCTTTTCAGATTTTAGTTAGGATAACTAGCACCACTGCATCAGTGAAGTTAAAAAACACGCCGTGTTCATACCAGTCCGGTAATTCATATTAGTTAGTATTGCAAATCGTTGACGTCAGCTTGTCTGACTTGTTACCTGCTGTGGAGTTCATATCGCTTTACCTGTCCAGCTACTCAGAGTAGATGTTACTGTTGTATGTCAAAGAATAGAAATCCTATATAATAGAGGAAGTCACATTATAGAAGAAGTCATGCAGGAATGTGATTTGAGGCCCATCACCCCCTTCTGGCTGTGTACTTATGGGGCTCTAGGGTCCTCTGGCAAAAGCACCACAAGAAAGCAAGGGCAGCACGGACTAACAAACACATGTACACACACATAAACGTGTACAAAAACACGCGCACACACATACACACACACACAAACACGCGCTCGTTAGAAGTAACCCACTGCTCTGCCTGCTGGGCTCTGGTTGGGACTGTGGTCAGCCATCTGTAAACAGCAGAAGGGGCCCTCTGCTCGAGTGTGTTTCCATGATGCCAGGATGTCCTTGTGTTGATTGGGCTTGGCGAGTGCACATCAAAGGGCAAGCGCACCTTCTGGCCTGTAGTGGCTAGATGGGTGGGCTTGGGTGATGAGGCCAGGCTGGGTTTTGTGGGCTGGAGTCTGCTTGGGCCGTGGAAACAGGGGCTCATCTGTGAGTGTGTGTGTGAACGTGTGTGAGTGTGTGGGATTAGGGGAGAGGGCCCAGTGCTTCTCTAGTGTGCTGCAGAAGTGCTGTTGTTGGGGTCAGCCCGGGCGTTTGCCAGGTACTTGGCCCTCATGCTGGACGTGTACTGCAGAGACACAAAGAGAGGACAAGCATATGACGTAAACTAGTGTAAACAGTGGACATTTCCTTACAGATTAAGCAGTAGGTCTGGACACACCTGCATTGACAGAAGTGCCCAATACTCATTCAACTGGACTTGTTGCAAATGAGCCTAAAAAATTATTTTTTAGGCTTAACTGTAACTCAACTGTAACAAGTTTCAATTTCATAGACTCTTGCCATTTAATGTCAGTACTCTCACAAAGTGCATTCTGTGGTAAGCATTAGGTTCCTTTCTTGGGTTAGACACTGCAATTGTCGTTTAAATTGTCATTTAGGAGAATGGTTAAAGGATTCTGAAGTTTTGCCCTGAAGCTAATATAGTGGAAGTCTATGACAGTGAAAAATATTTTAGGTGACAAATACTATTCAAACTATTCAGTTTAACATGGGGAGGTGGAGTAATGTTATTTTACTACAGGGTAGTAAAATAACATGTTTATGACTTGCTTGATTTCGCATGGAATAAGAAATCCCGGTATAAATTACAGAGATGGCAGTGGCTACTCGATTTACACACTGCTGTCACTCCTAAGAAGTTCCAAATGTAAAATCTCCAAATATTTTATTTAATTGTAAAACCAGTCTGTTTACCTTATACATCTACCTGCCTGTCTTCGTTGAATGCAACGTGTCATTCACATCATTAACTTGGGAATTCACAGTCAAAAGTCAACATCACCGCAAAAAATCAAACCTTTTTTTCAGTGGGTTTACATGTTTCAATGTTTGCAGTCATACAGTTTAGTTAGGACAATACATATCGGCTTGATTTGGGCCAAAGAAAAAATGCTTCACCATACTTAAGAAATACTGCAACAACTCCTTTTCTACTGGAGATGACTGAATATTTATCGACATGGCAATTCTCACAGGATTAATACAGCAAGAGGTTATTATTACATTTCAATTTATCGTGGTTAAAATGTTGTGGAATCTCAGTCCATAAGCACTATGGTGAATTTGACAGGCCTAAAATCATAGTGAAACAATAGCTACATAATTAAATTATCCTACCTTCCTATGTAAACGAATCCTATCCGAATAGTGCTATAGACTTCCATTACTTTTATTTACATTAGTTTCATTTCCTATGTTTGGGGTAAATTATGTTAATTAGATGTTTTCAACAAACTATTGCTTTAAAGCAGTGGTTCTCTAAACAGTCCTCAGGCTCCCCCAGACAGTCCACATTTTTGCTCAAACCAAACTCCCAACAGAGGGGCCTGGGGGGCCTGAAGGCAGTTCTGAGAACCACTGCTTTAAATTCAATTAGTCTGCAGCATCTGTAAAGAAATGTTTTAAGATATGTGGCAGCAGGTAAAATGAATATTAATGAAGCCGTTTCAGTTCTCAGGAAGTGGACAAAAGCCCTCTCTCTGGTTTTATGGGGAAACTGAAGAATAAGATAAATAAGTTGTCATGCACTGACACCTTCACAATTGACACATGAACATTGAGCAAGAGTTTAAAGAAGCACTCAGCTCTAGTATTAGAACACACAGAATCATTTCAACAGCCTTCTAAAGGAAATGTTATTCTGCCGCAGTGCTGCACTGAAATTGGGTCATGGATCAAACACGTCTACGGTAGAGAAGAACTATAGAAGCATACTTTCATTACACAGTGCATGAAGTCTACTACAGCTAATGTCAACACCCAAAATAGCTTGCAATGCTTAATACAAAACATATCACACAAGACAATGCATCAGGGTTGTAATGTGAGCTTTACATAACACACAGTTACACTACTGTACGTGCAGTGTATATAGTATATTCTCAAATAAAGTTATAAATGAAAGGTTAAATGAACTACAAGCAGACAGATTGGGCCACACTAGTTTTCATCACTGGCATTTTTATGGGCTGATATACAACAGATGCAATAGGCAGAAACTGAGCTGTAGATAACAGACTATGTGCTGGTGTACAGCTGAGGCTAGTTAACAGACTTATGAAAGGTTTTCTTTAAAATTCCATCTTAAAACACTACTTCATTTAACAAACTCAAAAGGAATCTCAAACTCAAAAGGAATCTCAAACTCAAAGGATACGAGAGATTCAGAACAGTTTGACAGCAAGCTTGCAAAGGACAGGGACATTTACTTTTCCTTAAGTGTAAAAAAATTGCTGAATGTAAAGTCTGCGAGTAGTGGAGGAATGGAGCTATTGTGTTGCTGTGTGGACTTTGGTAAAAGGTTCTTGAGATATTCAGAAATTCTGTGTGCCAAATTTACATAGAAATGACACATTCGTATACGTGACCAATAACTAATCGTCATCAGCCGGCAACTAATCGTCAAGTTGGAGAGGCTGAAAGCAAAGACGTGACTCATCAAAATGGATAGTTCTAGTTCAGAAATCTTATTGGCTGAACTATATATGCAAACGTCTGAAAGCACACATCAACTGAATTCCATATTAATGTGCCAAGACATTAAAAGAGTTTCTTATGTGGACTGTAGAACTGATAAGTGTGGCTAGGCACAAAGCAAATACATGAACTAACTGGCTCAAAACCATATTAAACATATTCTGTGTAGAAACATATGAGCAAAAATTTAAAAGTTGATGAAACGAGTGGAATATATAATGATGGTCTGCTGAAAGTTTAAAAGTAGTATTTACCACTAATTACTAACCCACATTAAAACTAACATAAATGCCTGACCAGGACTGGCTTTGGCTCCCTGTACTTCAGTAACTGAGCCATCCATCATGTCTTTCTCTATAATTTTGCACAGCCATGTGTGATTCCCTCACACTGCTGCACATCACACTTTCTCAAGGGAAAACACTGATGAAATAGATGTCTGTCTGTCCTATGCTTGCTTCGATTTGGTGTATTACTGTAGTTGTTCTATCATCCTCTTGAACAATGGTCCCAAACACTACTATTTCAACTGTTTGCTTCATTTTTAGTAGGCCTAGCAAGCATGACCAATTGCCTACTGTGGCATCATGCATACAATTTAAACATGTTCCTCAACTTGAAAGATAAACCCGCCTATTCGAACACAAAGAACTGTTGTTATTTGGGAATGAAACAGAATTAAGTACAACTTTACCAAAATAATCTCTAACAAACAAAAAACTAAAAACACAACAAGTTCTAGATATGTCTTAAGGCAGTCAGTAAGCCTGCAGGAGGATGCTTATAAATAATCAAGCTGCTACTATTAATCATCATTGCTTAATTCTCTTTCACTCCACGTAAGTGGCAGAGAATGTGTCCTAGCCGCTTGGCCCAAGTGAGGCAGAAAGAAAGAGACAGATATGGATGAAAAAATATATATAAAAAAAACACAAGACAACCTTTGTGACATTGTCATTCACAACCAGTACAAACCAGGAACAGCTCCATTAACTGCTTAATATAACTACTCACAAGCACATACTATCAAAGCCAAAGCCTAAGCAATCCATGTACAACATTCTACCTGCTACCCAGAGTGTCTAACAAGAAAGCACAACCTGCACTCTGCCACAGTACATGATGCACAAATCTCTTTATGTAAGGGCAAAGGCCATTCTTTCTGCGTCTCTACTGACAACAGGAGTGAACAGGGGACCAGAGGGGGCTACGGTGCTGCCCACAAGTGACAAAGGAAACACCATGACACACACCAAAGAAAGGTTGTTTTGGTCAGGAACAGGAGGTCAAAGGAGGAGTGACTCAACACAGTCTCTTAGTTTGGGGAAGAAGGACGGATCAGTATGTGGAAGTGGACGGGCATGTTCAGTACCTGTTGAAACGGCAGCGGCGGTTACCAAACCGAACGTGGGCTATCCGATGCCTTTAACTGCCAGCTGTGCTGTTGGGTAGCGTCCGTGGCAGTCTGATATGACTGCGCAGCGGAGGGGGGGAAGCAGAAAAGACAACGACAAGAATGACAGTGTCCATCTCCATTCACAGACACAGCCATAAGAGCTGAGGAGGGGCATGCACAGCACAAAAGAGGATGTGGGGTGGAGGTGGGGGCACACAACAGTATGATCAGAGTGTTAACGAGGGTCCACTTACAACAGCAAGACCGTAGTCCTGAGGCCTCATCAGTTCCACCAACCCCGTTACTCCCTTCCTCCATCTATCTCTCCTATGAAAATCTCATTAACATTGACCTGGAACTGGCATTTAGATCCTCTAACCGAAGTACTGCCAGTTCGGGATAGCAAAGCAGCTCTGAAAGGTCTAACAGGCCCCTTTCGCGTGATCCCACCAAACTCTAAATTTGGCTGACAGCCTGTCCAGAACGGTCGTTTCAGCCTCCTAACCCACGCAGACGGACTTCTAGCTGTAGCGCCATGCCCTTTCCCGCTTGCCTACAGTGTGAAGTGAATGAACTACAGTGTGGGAAGCCAAAAAAAGAAAAAAAAAAAAGCTTATACACCTACTACGTAGTGCTGTTCGAATTAGGTGAGCCTACCCACAAAAAGGCTGTCAAAATGACTCTGTGGAGCGTGTTGTGTATGCGTGTGGGTGCATGTGTGGGTGGGAGCGTGTGTAGTCATTCACTAAGGAGTGTTAAGTAAGTCAGACACTTACAGAGGGAGGAGGTGACTCTCTCCCAATGAGAGGAGTGTTCTCACAGCGGGGATTCTGGAAGTTTGCATTCTGCGTCCTGTGTGACGAAGGAGAGGCACACACACATGCATGAACACGCACGTAACACACCCACCAGAATAGAGTAAGCCAAGATCACAGTGAAACTATAAAATTCTGTAGTTCTGTAATTAAAAAGAAAAGCGGAGGTAGTTGGCACTAAGCAATTCTAAAAATAATACCTCAAAAGCAGTTACTAATTTGGTTACAGTGTAATCAGCCTAGTCCCATTAATGTCTCGTATAGCATGAAATGTCCTCCAGTAGCTCAGTGTAGAAGGCATCATCCTAGAAATATACTATCTAGAGATGGGCATTTTCAGTAATTTTGCAGTAGTTTTGAGTACTCTAACGTGAATGAGAAGTTGACTACTTGAAAAGTAAAAATGCGCATTCTGGAGAAAGATGCAATTGCTAGATTAAGAAACAAACGTCTCTGAAGCCAACACAGCATTTGCTGATAGAGTTACTGTATACCATTTTATTTCACATGGGTCTATAGGGGAGGTGACCGTCCCCTACATATGACATGAGAAAATGGTCTGTTGTTGGTTGTTTTACATGTCAGTTAAACAGCCTCTTCCTGTCAAAGTAAGTAATGGAAAATCAATCTGTGAAAACTAGTCAAATGCTGTGTAATGAGTACTCAGTTTGAAAATTACTCATGCCCACCCTGTGGAGTTTGGTTCCAACCTAAAACAAACACATGATCCAACTAATCACAGCCCTCTGGAGGTCAGGTGTGTTACAACTAGCTTGGCACTAAAATTTAAAGGAAGAAAGACCCGTCAGGCGTGCTTTGGCACATTGGTATTCTATCTCTGCGGGTGGCACTGACTTAGTCTGATCTATGACTCCCCCTGGTGGTATCTCTCAGCTCCTCTCCTGTGTGCACACAGCTGGAGGGGAGCAGCTGCTGCAAGCCCAGTTCACAGGGACAGCCAGGCCTCTCTGGGGGCCTGAAGCTAATCCATGGGGCAGATGGTGTGGACTACAGAGGAGCTGGCACTGCTTCTTCATCAAGTCTAAAAACAAACAAACCCTGGCTCTGTTTGGGGGGCTCTTCTCATCCTTTATTAGTATCTTTTATGTGGAGGGGGTAGTGTAATTGATATACATGCCGGGACCAGCTTATAAGAAGCAGGTTTATTCCCATCTCTGGACTATTTCAGGTTTAAAATTGGACTGTGAGCATTCAGTCAGTCGAGTGCAGGGGAGAGGCCAGATGTCCCTTCATAAACACTGAGACAGACTGCTGACAGCAAATGTTAACATGAAAGGCTAAGTAGTCAGTGATATGACACAATGACTAAAAGGCCTAAAGATGTACATTACCCGATCTGCTCTGTATGCCAGACAGGTGAGTGTGTGTGCTTCACTCACATGTACTCGGTAACAGGAGCATTGCTGACGGTGTGTGCTGCTGCAGGGATGCTAGTCTCACTGCCATAGCTGCTGCCACAGCTGTACAGGCTGGGCATGTGCACCCGGTACAGGTTATCATGGTTCTGCCTTCCTCCGGCAGCCCCAGAGTCTTCCTCACCATCCTCATCAGGCCTGTGCACACACAAACACACATAATTAGGGCCGTAACTAATAATTAACTTGTAATAGAATCTATAGATCTATTATAATTTGATTAACAATCTGACTTAATCTGACTTTTATGTCTTCTTCAGTTTCTCTCCCTTTGCTGCTACCATTATTCAAAACTTCTTTGCCACAAGTATGGCTGCACAATATATTCCTTTAATCATTACTGCAACGCAGACCTTCGCTAGAGATGGTGTCGATGGGTATCGGTATCGGTATGATATCAGCAAAAAATGCTGAATCAGATTGGGGATGTGCAATCTGTACTAATTTTAATATGAGTATCCGTAAGAGTTCATGAATGGATAGCTGTTAACCATGGAAATAGAAAAAACACCACACCAAATAAAAATGAAAACGTACAGCCGTGGCTTTCCTTTTTTAGGTAACTGCACTGATATTGCGCAAAAGTTTTGCATCACGTAGAGGAATAAATTTCAAAATATTTTTTACTGTTTAAAAACAGCCGAGGGTGATCAGTGGGTTTTCAGGTCAGATCAGTAACATAACGGAGACTGGCTCAGATGAGCTAATAAGCTAAAACCACAGGTAACCGGTACAACACTGGATCTGATGGAGACTCGTCATCTTCTACAGGTTTTTCCCCTTCAGATGACGATGTGCCAACATGTTTGTCAGAAAAACACATTTTAATTAGATCTAACATCATTATAGCCAATTTAGCACTAAAAGCCTAATCTCTGCTTTCTCAGTCACATCCTTAACAACGCGTCCTTGGCAACGCACTCACAATTAGGCATTTACGTTTTGGAGTAGCAAAGTGTTCGAATACTGGCACCTAAACTTGAGTAACCATGCACATCCCTGAATCGGAAATTGGAGGAAAGAAAAATAATGAATCCGATCCAATCCTGTAACAAATGTATCCTGAAATAGCACACACACACACACATTGTGTAATGTCATATTAGCTGTATATTCTGTCCTGTGGGGTAGTAGTGTTTAAGTAGTTTCAGCATGAAACCACTTCTAGATGCTCATCTTAAATGAAGCGCTTCAATTTACAACAGCTTTTAAAAAAAGAAATAATGGATCGATGTCAGATAATACTCAAAGAACAAGAGATAAAGTGATCGCTAGCTTTCACAACACTAGCAATCATAGAAGTTTTTAGTTTTTTGCAAGGCATATCACGATCGCAAAATGTAGCAATATAATCTCAACATATACGCAATATGATATTCAATCCATATACTACAGCAGTAAGAACAAGACATTTCTTGTCATGCAGCAACAAAACAGAAAACTGCCATGTACTGGAATGATATTATATGAACATTATAGAGCATTTAAAAAGGATTAAAATAAATGATGTATCAATAATAACACTAATATCTTTTTCATAACCTTAGTCATAACCTTAGTCATAACTTTATCAACTAATCACTATCCGGAGCACACGTGCCTATCTGCAGTTTCATACAGAAACTGTTTCTATAAACTTAGTGTATAATTTTCAAATGACAAGAAATACAACCTAATAATAAAACCAAAACTATATGCCTGTCTGGTACTCTATGTTCAGCGCTCAAGCCAGAAAATCTGAATAGTTAGTGTTCTTGGCCAAAAACAAAAAAGCCTTGGATCTGAATTTATAGCAAATAATTGTAATTTAAACCACAGTCACAATACCGGTTAGAAAAACTGCATTTAGATGTTTTGCCCAAGCTCTTCTGCTTACACAATCATGAAAGCACATAATCTAGGTTACACCCCTAAAGATAACACCAGTAGAGAGTGATTTGGCCAGCAGAGGGAGCCCTTGCCTATGCTTCTGCACTCAAAAGGCTGCAGCACATCAGGAACACACATGTGCCTATCTGCAGTCGTCAGTATCCACGGTGCCACGGGCAACAACAGAAGCTGCGCCTGCTCTGTCCTCTCCATTTCCTCTTCAAACGACGGACATATTGTGGGCAAACTTGACAACAAAATAACTGCCTGGAGCCAAGCTTTCTTTATTAATTTAGTATTAAGCAGAACCATCAGAACCATCCAATCTTCCCGTGTGGCAATGGCTTCGCTGTCTGTTTCTGGTCCAGAAAAAAAACAAAAGGCAGAAGATGCAAACCTCATGGACACAGTAACCACAGACAAACAGAATGCAGTCTTTACAGTACCCTGGCTTGATGGATTCGACTGCAGATGGCTACAAAAAAGCCAGAGCGCTGGAATAGACATCACAGAATGGATGATGTCATCCTTTTGGCTCGATCTCCCCCTGCTGGTCAATGGAGGAACAGAAACGTTCTTGGTAATTCCGGCACCTGACAAGGGCACTACGGTCAGGAAGCAAAATGCTCCTCAACCTCCAGACCTCAGTCTATCAGTCTCTTAAAATGACACTCCTCTACTTTCAGCTCAGTAGTGCTCTGTTCACCAAGGCTGAGACAAACAAAGACCTATTGTACTGTATAGTCTCCCTCTCTCTTACTCTCTCTCTCTCTCTCTCTCTCAGAAGTGTCCTCAATAGATATGCATTGATTTGTGTCATTTTTAAAGACAATAATAATAATAATAATAATAATAATAATAATAATAATAATAATAATTTATTTATATAGCACCTTTCCCAAGCTCAAGGTCACTTGAAACTAACAACAGATTTTCCATAACAGAATGACAATAGATATTAGGATAAAGAAATAAAAAGTCTGCCACCCACCAGAAAAGGAACAATGAGAACACATCTACAGACGCGAAATAAAGCAGCAAAACGCAACATAACGCAGAGTAGAGGGCACAGTGATACAGCATGATTTGCCTAGACAACAGCACAATCAGATGAATAGGACAGAGAGAATAGGTAAGTCTTTAACTGGCATTTAAAGGCAGAGATGCAGGAGATGCTACAGAGGCTCTCTGGGAGACCAAGCAGAAACTTGGAAACTGCAAATAAACCTTGACTAGAGCATCTGAGAATACAGGCAGGTGTGTTAAGATGGCATAGCTTAGACAAATACTAAGGCACAAGAGTTCTTTTTCAAGTCTTTATATATGCAACAGAATCTCTCTCTCTCTTTTGTAGAGAACATTTGATCCTTTTCAACTGAAAATTCAAATTATAAACTCAAAAGTTTCATCATGATTGCACATATATTCTGTGACCTGTAGTGTCTTGGTCATGGAAGTAAACCATTGTGGGTCAACAAAGCTATTTAAAAACAGCACTTAAAACTAATAGGCTAGTCAATTATGCAACTAAATAAAACAATCTAGTGCTTTGGCAAAATCGAATACAACATCCTTCACAAGGTCAGTCATTCACTGAATTGATGGCCTATGTTAAGCTATATCAGGTCCTCAGTGGCTCCCATAAAAAGCAATGAAATTAAACGTTTACACGGATACATAAAATGCCACAAACATTAAACTGGATTTTATTAAAAGTAAACGCAATGGACTGATAACCTCTGTAATTTTGCCATGTGTGGTTTCCTCTCACTATGGGGCATCACACTTTCTCTCAGAGAACATGGATGAAACGAGTTGTTTAGCTCATTGCTTGTGCATGTTTGCTCTCAATATGACATGATATACAACGCTGCAGTTGTTCTGTTATCTGCTCAAAAAGCGATCATGAACATCACTATTCTCACCTGCACAAATGGCAGCTTTAAGTTGCTAGGTATTGAATGATGCCACTGTCTACCTGGCTCTCTAATATGTATATCAATGTGTTTTACGTGCTGATCGCTGTGACTCAGACATTTCTCAAAGTCATTATCATTCTCACCACTCCTAATGTTGTTAACCTACTTAAGTTAACCTACTTTGTGCTCCGTGCAGGCCATATGATTGACAGCCATGAAGAAGCATGGTGCTTAGTATGGTATCTTGGGACAGAAAGGAACAGATCACAGCTCCTGAAGAGCAGGGTTAATTACACATAGCAGCTAAGCTGGGGCCTCTTCCACCTCACTCTCTATCAAACGCCTGTCTAATCCCAGCCGCCTCTAAACCAGGCCTGGCCCAGGAGAAGGTCCGGTCTCAGGGAAATGACAGAGCTTTATGAGATTATGGCTTGGCTGTATACTGAGGCTCGTGCCCTGTGACTGCAGAGGAAATGGCAGAGGGAGAGAAAGAAAGCTGTGCAGGCTGTCCTTCAGAATTGCAGCAGGAAAGCTTAATGCGTCAGAGCTGACCAACCACAGTGCCCGGAACACACATGTAGAGAGAGACAAGCTTCACACATACACACACATGCACAATATCGTGAGATACAGCAGGATTTCCAGTGCGTCACTGTGTTTTATAGTTATATTTCTAACGTGTACCTTCCTTTTATTCTCGGCTCTCGTAACTTAAAACCACATCTTCCTTAGAATTAATGACTAGCCTAATGATTCTGGACAATAAGTGAGATAAATAACAGGATGACAGAAGTTTTATGTCTTTCCTCTCTCTCTCACTCACACACACACACACACAGCACTCACCTCCTGCCCTGCCATGTGTGAGGCACGCTGCACACGATGGAGCTGAACATGAGAGCGGTGACGAAGGAGAAGAGCACCAGATAGATCAGCCCCTCGAGACCATCATAGCACAGGCCAGTCATTGCCTGCACATAGTCCTGTAGAGAGACAGAGAGAAACTTCATCTTAGCATCTCCTAAGTAGTAACTTCACAGGGGAGGGCAAAACAGTCTTTGCTTCCAATTTAAGTTGATACAAAGAGATTTTATTCCAAGCAATTTTGGAGCATTTCTGTTGATCCGTTCATCTTGAAAATTTCACATAAGAGCAGCCGCTGTGCTTGAAAAGACTGAAAAAATTGAGATACATGTTTTTCTTTGGACAGAGAATATCTACCCAGAAATTTCATGGTACCTAAATAGTAAGGAGTTAAGTGTGAACGCATGTCAGAGTCAAAAATGCTGAGTACGTCATTTCCTCCTTATCAGCTTTTTCATGGCATGCATAATGGGAACATCCTGGTTAAACACAGTTAAAGGGCTGCATGTGAGAATGACCAAGAGCTCAAACATTACTGGTAAAAGTAACCTAGTAATGTCCTGGGAGAAAGATGGAGACAGAGACAGAGAGAGAGAGAGAGAGAGAGAGAGAGAGAGAGACAGAGAGACAGAGAGGTGGAGAGAGACAGAAATACAGAGAGAGTAACAGAGGTGGAGAGAGACAAACAGAGAGAGTGAGAACAAGGAAGAGAGACAAACAAACAGAGAGCGAGAAAGAGACATACAGCAAGAGAGTGACATACACCAAGACAGAGAAACATCCAAAGAGAGACAGTTCCATATTAGCATTTACACAAAACGGTCATCCTACATGCATAGTCTTGCAGAGAGAGAGATACTAAGAGACATACAGAGAGAGAGAGAGAGAGAGAGAGAGAGAGAGAGAGAGAGAGAGAGAGAGCGAGAGAGAGACATAGACCTAGATAGATTCAGCACTACACATGTCCCTGCCTGCACACAGTCCTGCAGAGACAGAATGAGACATCACATACACACACACACACACACACACACACACACACACACACACAGAGACACACACACACACTGCCTGCCAAGAAAGAGACAAACCATTAGAAGAGAGAAACATGCCATTGCACACAAATACACACACAGATATACAACACCATGCTATACATAATCCTCTACAGAGAGAGACAGAGAAAGAGAAAGAGAGAGAGAGAATCAGACACAAACCCACGCTCTCGCACACCCACACTCAAAGTCAAAAACCCTGTCGTCGTGACCAGACAGAAGAATGCGGCATTCAGTAATTCAATCTGTGGATTCCACAACCTCATAGAGCACAGAATGTACAAGATTTCAGTACAAACACACAGCATATTCACTATTCTGGAACATACAGAATGTCTGTAAATGCTAGAATAATACTGTATACTCTGCCCACACAAACGCTGCTGTACAGAGACTCAAGTGGAATTCTGTGTCTCTGCAGCAGACAGTAGCTGGCAATAGGCACATATGCTGCAGAAGCTGGAGAGAACCCCCCCCCAAACTGTACGCAGTGCTGCAGATCCTGCATAGGCAACAACATGGCAGCCACTCCCTCCTGCAAATCACCATTATTATTCACAACCTAGCTGCTCCGCTCATGATTACCATGCAGCTGACTGCACAGTGGAACATCCAGGCCAGGAAGCAGGCTCTGGAGAAAAAGGGCTGTCCTTTATATAAGCTTCACAACCTAAAAAATATGATTATGATAAACCCATAAAAGCTTGGACAAACAGCATTTTCGAAGAAAGACTCGCTCCACCACAATCACTAGCAGGTGAATGATGCTTTTGGAAAGGCGATTGCATGACCACCACCAAAACAACATTAATTATGTATAATAAAGCCTAAAAGGCCAAGTCTGCTTTTTTCATGTTTGTTCCAGCGCTATGGAGCCTCTTGTAAGAGGCCACCCACTGAGTAGCTCTCCCCAGAAGAGCCCCACTCTACTCTAAAAGTGGCCTCATCAACTCCAGTAATGTCACAGCAGATACAGGCACCTCGCCCAGGCAGGGAGCTTGCTCCATGACCGATGGCCATTTGAGATTATTGTTAGAATGCAAATCACGTAGAGTACAAAAATGTCAGAGACTACCCTTTATTTATTTGATTTCCAGTCAAAAACAGCCATTAAGTACAAGTCATTCTTTAGAGATTAGATAAGATAATCTACTTGCATAAGGAAGGGAAAAGTCAGTTTCCAAAACTCAAGTTCCAAAAATTATTAAAAGGTATAGAGAAGATGGGACTCCTAACAGCTGTGCAAGACTTTACAGACCACCAAAACTGTCACCATCAGATAAACCAGGGGCATTAAACTCAACCAGTCAAAGGGCCATATTATCAAGTCTCATCACATCTGTCGGCCAGAGAAAAAAAGTTTTTATTTAATTTCTAATTAATGTTGTTCTGTAACCCAAACTGGACACTGTTCATTCAAAATATGCAAAAAACTTCAATAGTAAACTAAACTTGTAGTAAAAATATTACATGGACACTTAAAATATTCAAAATTTAAATGTGTCTGGGTGCTCAGCCTTTTAAACCTACCTTTTTGCTTAAACTAGACACTTGGCATCTGTTCTTTGCTGCAAGTTCATTAAGACTTGGGCTCAATTTCCAAGCTAATGTTAAGTGTTTACAGTGGTTGAACTGCAGCTAAAATGCATTTTGTTGATATGATTGGTGTGGAATTGTACAGAATTGTGTAAAATTTAGGTGTAACCGCTATACTATAGCTTATTGTTTGGGTAGGACAATCAGAGCACATTACATTGCAGTGCATTTTGGGGATGGTAGTACTGCACATTGTGAAACAGGCTAATATTAACAGAAAATTAAAAGACTTTTGCGAGCCGGATAGGATTGCGTGGCGAGTCTGATCTGGCCTGTGGGCCTTGTGCTTGACACATGGGAGACACACAGTACTTCAAGCTTTCAGAGATCTATAAGAGATATTTTTTCATGTTAGCTTCAGGATCTGAAAAAAATTCCACAGCTGTTTTTTGTCCATCCATGGTGAGAAGACAATACCATGGGTCTGAAAGGATGCACAGCTCTCAAGAAGCCGTTGCTGTGAAAAGGAGATTCTACAAAAAACTTGCACATCAAACAAAGAAGCTGCTGGTGTTCTCAGGACAATGGACTGACCACCCCAAGCCCAGAGCTCATCATTAAATTTGTTTGGGATTACTTAGATTGTGAGAAGCAGAAGACGCAACCAAAGACTGTGAACTTTGGAGGTGTGGAAAAAAAAAATCGCTGCAGATTTCTTTGGGAAAAAAAAAGAAAGCAAGTCTACTGAAAAGAATGGAAGCTGATATAAATGCAAAGTGTGGACACTAAACACTGAAATTATATATTCAGTCATTGAGGCTTCTATGAAATTTTCAGTGAAATGTGTGTTTTTGTTCCTGACACTGAATAATAAGTAGCTTAATAAGTACTTAATGGCCATTTTGACTGGAAATGAAATCATGAAAGGTGGTCTTGCACAGTACTGCATGTGGGGGGCTAGGTACCTCTTTAGAACCAAATAATGGTTCAATAATGGAGTCCTGGGTAAGGTGCCACATTAACAGACAGCACAGCTGTAGTGTGCTTATGTTGTCTTGTGAATGAGCAATAGTATGTAATGAATATGATGTGCTACATACAGATACACTTACCATATGCAGACTGCGGCAGTCCACTAGGGCGGTCAGCTGATGCAGCCCAATTTCAGTGGTATTCAAAACTCCCTGAATCTGCTCCAGATTGCTCTGAAACATTTACACAGACAGAGTAAAAACAGGGTCATGTCCTCCTCTAACAGACCTAAACTGGGCCAGGCAAGCGACTGGACTGCTGTGTGTGTGTATGTGTCAGTGGTACAGATTGAGTTGGGCTTAATGTGAGTTCTACGCATACATTATATACTGTTAACACTCACCAACACAGTTACAACATTTATCTTTTCTATAATTCCCTCTGCTCTTTAACAGGTGTGCTTTCAAAGCCTGCCGAAGTTTTTCAACGACAAAACAAAGCAAAAGAGGCAGAGGAGCATTCCACTTCTCTATGCACACAGGAATGCTTTTGTCAAAAGTTCACTGTCGTGTGAGGGCCAAGTTGTGTGACGTTGCAGCTGCAAATAGCTGGTGAACAGCTCTGTGTGTGAAGTGTTTTCACAAGCTCAGCACTTTCCCCACAATGGCACTGCGCCACGGAGGGCTAGTGCTTCCTTTTCACACGTCCAGCTTGTCAGCTGTCGCTTTGTCTCAGAGCAAGGGCCAAGAGGAGTCAGTGCTGGACAAAACCATAGAGGCAATACACCGACAGCCACTGGTTCAGGCTGGCAGAAGGGTTTTGGATCGGTGGGCCTTTGCCAGGTCTGTGTATGTAGGTGTTAAAGCTACAACACACTGGACGTGTAGTGTTGCTATTCCACATAGGAAAACATCGCAGTGAGGGCACCAAGAAATGTCAATCTTATGTTCATTTGACATCATTTAGAGAATTTATCACATTTAATAACTAACTATTCACAGACTAACTTGAGTTGAAATAAGTTATGAAGTGAATAGGCTAGTAACGTTAGCTGAGACAACAGATGCATATTATTTGTTTATTTGAAAGCTGTGTTATGTACATTTTTGTTAAAATTAATATCTTCTGAGTCAGGAGAAAAAAAATAAGAACATGTGCTGCTGCGAGTCTCTCTGTAAAGCCTGAAACAATAATTTAAAAATCAGAGGTGTCAGGCCAGATGTTTGTATAATATTGTCACATGCACAGGGTCAAAAAGAAGTTCAATGTTTGCAAAATCAACATTATACTAATGAAGATATGATGCCAATTAAAGATAATTCACTTACATCTTCGGAAGATGCATTGTTCAAGTTTTGACTAAGTTCTCTTTGAATACTCTTTCAACAAAATCATCAGATTCATCCGCTCGGGAAAGGGTTTGAGGCACAATCAGTGTAACAAAATGTTCTTCTGTATTTTGCACACAATTACACATTTCCACCACAGAGTTCCACCAGCCTTTAGAATTACTGCCTTTTCTGGTGTAAATTTCTAGTAACTTTCATGATGTTCTGTGATCTAATCCTGGGTTTAATTTAATGCTGCAGTAGCAAAATGGAAAGTAGTGCAAGAATGCTGAATGGAAATTACGCAGATCTGGAAGCCATGAGGGCTAATGCGTTGAAGATGGTATTTGTTAGAGACAATGTTTAAGCATTTATAGATGCTGTGTGACGCGTGCAGTGGCTTTTATGTGTGGCACACACCTTGGTCTGGGGGTATTCCCGCACTGCGGAACGCAGAAGTTCTGACACGTCGTCCTGCATCTCCACCAGAGCCTTGTGACTTCCAGACAGCTTCTATAACACACAAACACAATACAAAGTCAATACAAATAACTAAAAAAATCTTTAGATCTTTATGTGGGTTTGATGTATTAGAAAATAGTAAAGGAATTTAAGAAATGAAAGAACAATGAAGAAAACTAAAATATGTTTTTTTTTCAATTTTGTGTTTGCAAATTTGAAACTTCTCTCAGCTTCACAATAGCCAAGCAGTAAACTGGCAACTGTCCCTGTATTACTAATGTATTAGGATTTCTAATAAGTACTGTACCAACCTATCCATGACAGTGCTCATTATGGTTCAGATTTCCAAGAAACTCAACAGAAGGCAGGGATTTTGAAAGGATGGCTCCAGCCAGAGCAGCCACTTCCGTTCAAATTTCTCTCATCAGCAGATGTTACTGAGGTGAGTGCAGAATGTCAGCTGTCCATGTGGTTTCAGTCTATGCTTTTACAAAAACACTATATTCCACTGGAAAAACGTCATTCTGCCTCTTTTCCTGTGCTGACAGGGCCATTTCCCCCCTCTCACTTGCTGGCTGACATGTTAGCACACTTGCTATACTCTTTCTCAGCAGTGAGCGCGCATGAATTATGCATGAGGGCCCTTCCTTTGGCGGGAGAGGTGAGCAGCTGCCCACACCGCTGCTGGATCAGGCAGCTGAGAGAAAAAGGAGAGAAATGTGGGAGAAGAAAGGAACCCAGGAAGTCCATTACTGGCTGACTGCTGCTGACGGCATCACAAGGTCTATGTAACACATTAATATTTGAGACAGCTTCAAGTGGTCGTGGTGGCAAGTAGAGAGCTTTCTTAGCAACAGTTCTATTTTTAAAATCGCCACGAAAGCCTGGAAAATTACAGATTAACAGGCTGTGGAAAGAAAAAAACAGAAGTGACTGTACAGTCTGTTCTGCTTCTCAAAAAGCAAAGCGCTAACTCTGCCTGTGCTGCTCAAACGCTGATGCAGTGATTTACTCACCTCCAGATCAATAGGCCTTTTGTGAGAGTTAAGTTTTCTTTTCTTTAACAAAGTAGAAATTGTTACTGAACTTGATTTAGATGACATCAGAAAGATAAGGCACGAGCCCTTCTCAGGAAATGCCATCCTAATTTCTGCTGAAACCTAAAGCCTCCAGCAATTGCTGTAGGTGTATATTCAGGACCCTCATTCATGATGGTCGGATAATAGTTGAGATCACTGGCCCACAGAGATCAATATACCATTTCCAAATGGCTATTAACTGGTGTTTAGATGCAATAAAGTGTAGATTGAAATGAATGGGGCTGCCGTCGTCCATCACGATTAGGCAGCTGTGGTGAGAGCCTTTACAACTATATGCATTATTCACATAAATAATGTCAAAAGTTCAGGTTCATTAGATTTGTCAGGCTCTACTATACACAACTGAAGTGTGTAACGGAGGAAACAAGGGATAATGCAGCTATGGGGGATGTGAGGAAAACTGGATCAACTTGAAACCTGGACTGAACTGTGACTCCAGAGCAGGACATCAAGATGGATGGGAAGATACGCTTGGACTGAATCAGGGCAGATCTGAATGTAGGAGGTTCGAGGTTGTAGAGTTTGTGCAAATGTCAAAGGGCGTGCAAGGCTAAGACACAGATATAGAAAGAGACGCAAAGACGAACAGACAGACTGAAGACGGAAGCTTTATATTACCTGCTGGAAGGGGTTGGCCTGCCCCACGCTGCACTGGAGGTAATACTGCAGGATGTCTGTGGAGACAGCAGAGATGGAAATTTAAAACCTGTGATGCTAGCAAGAAAACTGAACAATGAAAATCAGGTCACAACTAAAAAAATCCTCTGATCTCTAACTGCACATTCACACAATGCTAGGATGGAACGATACCTTTTTTTTCCTGATGTAAATTCTAAAACTACCGTGCTTTAAAATGAAATGATTCACTTCAAAAATGGAGCGCAAAAGGAATTAGCTAGCTAGTTATCATTCAAATGTTAGGGTGGCAGCATGTGACCTACTTTGCTTTATGGAATGTTGGGCTGCAAGCAATTCTGTAACATTATATAAAATTATCAGTCAACACGAAATCAAAATAGATCTGCCTTACTTTATTAATTCATGTCCCTAAGCACAATTCACCAAATCCAATCAGTTAAAAGAAAAGATTCTTGTTTTTTTCTCTTATCTTCTATCAAAATGCCAAATACCAAAATGTGCCGAACTCAAAAACACCTTCTGATTTTTGGCTACAGCACCATGCACCAAAAATTAAAAAAAGGAAATCGTAGGCAGATATACAGTATTTTTCACGTTCAGTGGGGTCCAAAAGCCTGAGATGAACATGCTAATTTGCATTCTTTTCAAATGTAATATAACATTCACCATTACAAATTGGATTATTGGCATAACTGTTGGAGCGAAAAGTAGAATCACTAAAATAATTACATTCATTTCAGTATTTGTCCCTCTTTTCCTTTGATGATAGTGTGTACGAAGACTGGCATAGACTTTACAGGTTTGAGAAAAATACTTTAATTCACCTGAACTTGTTTGAACACATGCTTTAATGTAAGAAAAAAAAAGAAGAAAAAAAAATTACCCCAATTTTGCTTGAACTTGAATAGTAACAAACAGTGCAGAGTCTTGAATATTTCATTTTGTCATAACTTTTCTTTGTTTTAAATTTTCCAAAATTCGAAAAATGTCTCTTTCAATCACAAACGTGCTCTCTTTCATTCGGACCTCACTGTATCTGCTGATGCCAAATGAATACCGATACGGACATTTATAAAATATAGGACTTGACACTAGATCCATCTAGATTAGCACTAATGGGAATTTTAACATTTATTTCTACACACTACAAAGGCAATAATATGAATACAATGCAGATATTTAAGCACAGAAGCTCAGCATTGCCTCAACATTTTGTTCTTCCAGAGTACAGTAAACACATCAAGCATTCATTAAATCTCAGTATCTGTCCGACGGAAATATAGATGTATTTTTTGCAATTATCTACCAATACTGATATAATTACACTATGATTGTGCTTCCCTGACTCCCAATTCACATTGATTTTTTTGGTAGTATCAGACTGATAGTACGCCAGGTTTCTCAGGTCATTCCACACAGACCACAGCACAACAAACCTACTTACTTAGACATACTGCAAACCCCTCTCCCCTTATTTCACCCAGTGCTGTATTAGAACAATGCTCTGGAAGGGTTAGCCCTCGTTGGACTGGGCACAATGAACATTTCACAGGCGAATGGTCTGACCTACTGGCTGATATTTCAGACTCATTGACCTTGGGATTTCAGGGCACATGCACTCACACAGCAGCCTGAGGCAGATGTGAGCAGAGAGAGGAGCTCTGCAGCCCACTAACCAAGCAGAGGCCCAAGCAGAGGCGGCTGAGGTCAGTCTCCTCACACCAACACATTCTCTCCCTGCCTTACCATCATAGAGGAGAAGCAAAGGCTGTGGAGACCTCTATGGTGGCTAATTGGCCTGTTAATGAGGAACGAGAGTGCAGGCTGTTTAAACTGAGTGGGGTGAGGAGCTGGGAAAAAAAAAACGCCAACTGAGAACTTGTTCACCGAGCTGGAAAGCAGGAGATGTAGGACAGTGTTTAGCGCGTGTATGTGTGAAGGAGACAGGTTATAAAAAGCTTCCCACGCTCTATTTCTGCGCAGGAAGTGCTGCATGTTCACACCACCCTCCCTCTCCCCACACACAAACACCAACACAAACGTAATCGTGATATTCGCACAGCGTGTAGACTTGCGTAGAGGTTGAGTCAAATGGAGAGATCCGCGTGTGAGTCAGATGAGTAGGTTTGGATTCTGGAGGAGTGATGAAAAATCACTCTCTCTCCAAGCCAAATACGAATACGCACATGGCAGTGGGCACCAGGCGGAGCAGCAGCCAGCAGCCTTCCTCTCCATCAGGCCTGGTAGTGGATGAGCTAATTCATGTCTCTCACAGGCCTCCGCACACACTCCCCCCATAAACCTCATAATGACGAGGAGAATGAACCGTTCGCTCAATTACGTCCGCACATGCCCAAAACACAAGAGGGTGAATGAAGGAACCTTTTTTTATGGCTTGTAACAGCTCCACAGACCCAGAAACCAGCAGTCTCATCCATCATCTTTACTAGAACTTCAGTAATTGGGTGTAATATTGGGTGATTGGAGACGTCAGGGTAAAACAGACCACAAACAATGGGGGGTCCAACATAAAATGTGACCTGAAAGGGGGGCCTACTTTAAATCACCACCACGCAGTCAACGGAAATGAAGCACAGGTCTGTTCGCAACATCGCCGAGGGAAACGCATCTGATATACGATCTTGTTCGCGCTTTGCCGGGTCCTCTGTAAAAATGTTCGCTTGAGGAGGAAAATAGATCATAAAACACTTGCGTGTCATAAAAGCTTCAGAAGATGAATGAAACGGTAAGGCCTGTTCAAAGCGTGTTCACAGAAGGGTCGTTTTCATCTCAGACAGATCGGGTGGGGGCAGGAGTGGGGGTGGGTGGGGAAAACAGGGAACGGAACTAAAGGAGACAGACATTATGGCGGTGTTGACCTCTTAGAGGCTGAAGAGGGGTGAGTGGCCTCGGGGCAGGGAGTGGGCGATTCTCATGGGTCAGGAGTGCACAGAGCATCCTACAGCTGAGGCAGGAGGCTTGAACAATTTAGACCAAAATGGCACGTATCCCTAGTTTCAGCCAGCTATGATGAAGAGGGAGACATTGACATGGGATTGTGGGATAATGCCGACATTCACCATTTTTATAAGCTAAAGATAAAAAAAAATAAAAATAAAATACAACAATTTATTCATTTGTTTCCATCAAGAATATTATAAACAACCTGCAATAATGACCAGATTTACTAAATGAAACAAATTTTTTTTCCCATCTTGTGACCTTTGAAGAAACTAAAAAATCCATTAGACTGAAAGGATAAAATGTAAGCAAGTTTACTGAAATATTTATTTGTGTCTGGATACAAGAAAAAACAAGATACAACTGTTTGCTCAGCAATCCAATTCCTCAGCTCAGGGATGGGTATTGCTCCAAAAGTGCTATTAACAGACTGACAGATTAGATGTGCTGTGTTAAAAAAAACAAACAACAAAAAAAAAACACATGGAATATAATTTAGAAAGCCAATCACAATCCAAGATTTTGTGACAAACACACTTATTGACTTATGGATGCTGATGAGCGAACTGCTTAGGTAGAAAATTTGGCATTGAATGACAATTTGTTGACACTTGGTAGTATTAACTAAGTGTACCACAAAACTATTGAATTTTGATACTCAGCCCTGCCTGCACATTGGCTATGAGTTGACTTCAGCTTGCTTTTCTTTAGTAGTTCTTTCTTAGAATTGTAGACTTTTTCCTCTGTAGTATATGAGCATGACAGCAGTGTTTTGCCATGCTTACACAGAGAAACAGCACGCAATTTATTAAGGTGGCTGCTTCTGAATGTTCAATACAGTCAAAGCCCTGTGAAAGATAATGATTACAAGAAGGAGAAAACTAAGGCTTGTGGGCTTGGTGGCAATGCTGAGGGGCTGAAGGACTCAAATTTCAGTGCTGGAATGCCATGGGCAAGAAGACGAGTGAAAGCTTCAGTAATCACTTTGTCCACCGTTTCCATTTACTGCCATTAGCCACTGTGGGAGGGGGGTGGATGTGTACTGTGGGCTATGAGGACATCTCTGACAAAAGAGTGAACGGGTGGAAGCTGACAGCTGAAGAATATGTTTTTCTGATCAGAGAGAGAAGTGGGGGAGAGAGAGAGGCAGGCCACACAGTTGCACGGCCGACAGTCACACTGCCTGGCTTTCCCATTACCCAGCATTCTTTCCTCCTGCATTAGAACTCTTATCACTATCCTACATTCTGTCTCTGCTGCCCTACTTCCTCCTGCTCATCAGTGCAGCAGACTGGCTAATCGCACCAGGGGCGCTGCTGGACAGGCCAATAAACTGGGTCTGCATGTGCTCTACACAGACCACAGATGCTGGGGTCATCTGCTGAATCACCTCCTCTTCATATTATCACACTAATGTCCATAGCAGATAACTTATAGCCCACTCTGAAAGTCCTCCAAAGGCCAATGAAGAGAGAGAGAAGGCCTTTCACATGGCTAAGACTGGAATGTCTCAACTGCTTTCCCTCTTGTCTCTTCCCTCATCATTCCATCTGCTGAGGCCACCCAGTGAGGAACACACGCACACACGCACACACACTTATACACACAAACAAAATACTAGCTCAGAAAGGGGGGAAAGAAATGCTCCAGAAGAGATTCTTTTTCAGCTTCAACTCCTTGCTGCCTCACCCCTGTAATTTACTCTCCCTGGCCTTCTGTGCAGGTCAGATCACTCGCAAAGCGTGCACAGTGGTGAGTAACGCCGCTACAGTGAAGGCGGGTGATTTAGCTCCTCTGAGAGCCAAAAGGAAATGAGAACTTGTTTGAGGGAATGTTCCACGAGTCGAAAAAAAACATGTGCGAACTCCTCCGACATGAAAGGGCGAGACCATGCTCAGGAATGATTCAGAGAGCAGATCTGACAGCCCGTGACTCAACCAGTGAGAAACAACACATCCACTGCACTGATTACAAACCTGTACTGTTTCCAAGCAAACGCACAGATGAAAAGTGAAAGCATGTCGATATCATCTCACCTTTGTTGATGACTCCGTACTGCTCGGCCACTCTGGCGACGTACATGTCTGGCGCCACGCAAAAGTCACTGGAGGTCTGGAAAGAACACCAAATGGAATGGCTGATATGGACCAAATAAAGTGAAAACATTCAAAAAGTTGTTTGGAAGTGTACGATGTACTTCTCTTAAATAAAAGACTAACTCAAGGGTAAATGGACCTGTTCCAAACAGAGTTAAATGTTGATGGAGGCTAGAGTGACAACTTATTCAAATGTAGGCTGCTGAATAATAGAACCAACTTCAAACGAGGGAGTAGGAGGTACATTTGCATACATAAACGCTGCATATTAGTCGTTTATAATAAAGCCTGGCGCTCTCAGTGGCAAAACCTAAATTGGAAGTGTACCTTAATTCCCACTGCAGTTTTACTCCCAAAATGCTATATAACATCAATCACGCTTTAAAGTGTGTTTTCCAGACAAAACTGCAATTAAAAAGTGACGGAGTATAAATAAACTCATTGTTTTGAACTCGCCTTTCTTGGTATGCGAGTAGACGTGAACATGACTTTTACAGTTTTAAGAGGAAGCACAGTGGTGAGGCTGAACCACACTTATCTTGCCCTGCCTCTGTACAGGGTAGTGTTGCTATGGAGACACTCACCGAGGAGACAGCCAGTTCCAGACCCAGCGATCCCCAGCTGATTACCAGTGCCAACACACCCAGTAAACAGACACTGTGCAAGAGACAGAGAAACAGACACAGATAAACAACAATAAGGATTATTCTAGCTACTATTAGTAGTCATACAGTGAGGAAGGTCTCAGCATCTACTAATGTGAACTGAATTCCCTGCAAAACACCCTCATTACACCTCGCTGTGAGGTCAACTTGCCATGTCTGTAATCAAATCTTCTCTTAGTGCAAAAGTCATTAACTTAGGGGTACCTAACATCTGGAGCGTGTACAAAAGGCCACATATAAGGGACTGGTTTGGTTTTTCACTTACTCCAAATGTAATCATCCATAACATGTTTGGTGTCCAAACTTTGCTTCCTTAGTTTAGCACTGGGGCTATAAACAATAGATGTCAATAGTTACCCAAATCTTTACCGTAAATAAATCAGCAAAACTTCTTTCAATTTGCAAAACTTCAAAGTTCAGAATGAACTCAGCTGAAATCAACACGTAGTTAAATACTGGCATTCGTATGCTAGATTACATTTGCAATTTCTGTTGTTTCCATTTATACACGTATATTTTCAGTTCAACAATTCAAAACTAATTCAAAACTAGTTATATTTAAAAAGAAACAGCAGGAACTGCAAACATGATCTGTGATGCCCATAAACCTATGCAGTGTGCGTCCATGCACATGGGGTCAGAATTTGGCCCAACACCCTGCTGTCTAGTGGCTGCTTGCTGCATTCAGCTTCGCAGTGAAGTTTTGTACCCTTTTCCAGTTCACAGTGAGTCATAATTTTCTCTAAACAACATTGGCAAGTCTGCAAGGCCTAAACCAATTGCAGGATTCAGTTTTATTAAGTTGAGAAAAGTTTTGGGGATGTATTTAAGGAAAAGATTTGGGTGACTATTGACTTCTAGAATTTGTTAGCAACATTAGCCTCGTAGCTCCAGTGCTGAACTAAAGCAGCAAAATTTCAGCACCCAACATGTCTTGACCGCTTGACTACATCTGGGGTAAAGGTAAAATGATATAAACCTGTTTTGTGCTGAACCATTCAAAACTGAAGAAGGAATATCTACTAATAATACTAGAAAATAATGAATCCCAGTGAGCTGTTTAACATTTGCAAACAAGATCATGCAAACTGGAGGCCACTAGCTTTCATTCATTTCAAGTCATTTTAGCACTTTGAGAAATATGTTCTGTTTATTTCAAACACAGAGAGATTCTAATCACTGATCTGACATTTATCTTCTGTCTAAAATGCCCTCGGGCTAGTGTGGCTTTTTGCTGTTTAATGTGAATCTAAATGTTAAGATGCCCAAACATATCGCTATGAAAACAGTGGTGGTACATCTAGTGCTTGATCTATAGGGCAGGTACAAAAGTCTTGAACCTGAGCTCTACAGAATGGCAGTGAGGGCAACGTGGTCCTCTCTGTAAAGAGAACAGCAGCTTAATAATGTCAGTGTGCCTTAAATCTGCTCCAGGGTAGGATGTGACCGACCCCAGCAGAAGGCACCTCAGGGAACTCTCCCTGATACTGCGTAGCATAATATGCTCTTAAGTATCAGATAAATAGTTGAAAGAAACGTGTAGAAATACATCTTCTGTTCAACCTCTGTTTACTAAAACAGAAACTGTAGCACGTGTCACCCCTCTGGATAATTTAAAATGCAAAATAACTGGCACGCAGACCTGCAGTAGGCACTTGCAAAGAGAAAACCTAATATGACTCAGAGCAATTCTGGTGCTAAAGCACTTGTACACATGCACGGTTCCAATGCAGACACTTTCACTGGCGATAGCTTGTCCTCTGTGTAAGAATCAGATAACATGCTTTTTCTGCAGTCGCTGCAGTTGCCATCCCGTAGGGAGAAATCACTAAGAGATTACAATTTCCCTGCCTGTGCTAAAAAGAGCTGCCGATAATGGGCACTTTATAGAGCCCAAATTAGCTTCATCTAACTGCTCTCATGGAGATAAACTGATCTTGGTCAGAAGTCACTTATGGAGAACGTGTAAAAGAAATTGCCTGACATGGGATGAGAATAATTGATAATTTCACGTTCAAATAGTGCAACTGGAAATATTAAGGAGCCACTCTTACTGCATGGCTAAAACAAACTAGAGAAATGGCTCTTCAAAGCAGTTAAGACTGTATATTAGGACTTGAGTTTTACTGTAAGTGGTGCCACATGCCACCCAAGGCCAGCAGGTGAGGGTAATATAATAATATTGTATTTTTTATATATATATATGTTTTATTTGAGGAGGACAGATCACAGAGAAAAACGAACAAATAACAAAAATTCCTAACTGTGGTAATGTAATAGCATAATTTTGTGACACACTTTAAATGAACATTTTCAAGATACAACTCGCCCTTTCAGCCAAAATCATTTATTTTTCTATTACTAAATTAAACCTAGGCTGGGTGAAAAGCAGCCACTGACACTGTTCTTAGCTTTGCATAATGGTTTTATCACAGTTTAAGCCATGGATGTAGTGCTTTCTCTAAGATCCTGAAGCACAACACACAATTATTACTGAAGCACAATTATTTTGCCATGTCAGCTCTTGAGATGATATTAAAGTGAAGTGCTGTCATGTCTTTGAACTGTTTGGTACATACATACATCATCAAGCCAACTAATCAATAACAGGATTTGTTGTCAAAATGATGTTGATTAGCTGTTGCAGCCCTAATCTGGACAATGCCGGAAGTCCAAGCTTGTATGAATTGGATGCACAGAATATAAAACGACTTGAAAACAAACAAACAAAAACATACTTAAAGGTTTTGGTAACATTTTTTTAATATGGCATTACTGTTTTGCTGGTGCACTCTGTCGACACCATATCATAAAATCTTGGAAAATCTCTGGTAAAGGCACAGGAGCACACACAGCCACCTTTTCTGAATCAGTGGTAGGCGCAGTAGAAATGGAAGTGGCCAGCTGGTAGCTTCACTGAGCTAAAAAGCCCTGATTTCCCACACGACACTCTCCCACTCACGAGCACAAGTAGTGACTCACCCAATGAGAGTTCCTTTAGAGTTGCGGATGAGGCCGAAAAGCACCAGCAGGCAGATGAGCACGTCAAACAAGAGAAGTCCCAGATAGCCCAGCCACCTGAGCACAACACAGATATATTACCAACACTGAAGCAAACTGACCCCTAATCAACATTTATGATACATATTTAGAATGTGCAGAAAAAGAAAGGTGCCAAAAAGGGTTACTGGGAATGATGCCATAGAAAAACCACCTTTAGCTCCCTAAAGAACCTTTCAATTAATGGTTTCAATGAACGCCACTTTTCCCTGTAGAATAAAGGGAATGAAAGTATATAACTTGAAAAGATTTTATATTCTATAACTTACAATTGTGAATCTGCCTGTTTAAAGAACAAAGATTGGCTACCATGACTATGTTATGGCATATAGACTATGTGTGGTCAACTTGCCCTTTCTCTGATAGACAGGTAAGTGTTTGGGCTCAGCTGCAGAAGTGCACCGATTTAACTAAACCTTTACTGTCCAAGGATTTCCTGCTCCTCTGCTTCAACTTGTCTGCTCTCTACACCTTCAACAGCAGACAGATTCAGCTGAACAGCCCTTGCTGGCAGGGCTCCAGCTTGGCCTGGGTGAACCGTTCGAGCGTGCTACTGTACTGAGCATGTAATGTTATGACAGAGGAGAGGGCAGAAGACTCTAATATGGAGTCAAAGCCAAAAAGCTCTGGAGCTGCAGTAAACTTGGACTGAAGAATGATTAGTCAATCAGCCAAGACACGCTTGGTATCTGAAGTTCTCTTCTTTAGTTGTGCGCTGGCACAGTAAGGTTAATGTAATGCCAACATTATTATTATTTTATTCTAAATCCCATCCAAGACAATTGAAGCAATTGCACTGGATAAGTCCAATAATTTGTAGTTGCTTAGCCAAGACTTCTGCATTATAGTTATATAAAAATAAATATACTTATTAAAAAAAAGTCAAAAAAAAATCTCATAAATTTCCTTTGGCCCAAATGTAGACAATTAATGAGCGCTTATATCCCACCAATTAGCACTGTGCAAATTACATGCCTAAATTATCACATACCTCTATCAAACCACCCTGACTTGTAATGCTAAAATTAAATAGTCTGTGTGTATTCTTCTTGAGATCACGTCTGGCCCTGCAAGACTAAAACAGTAGTTGCAGCTCTGAAGCTTAAGTTTTGTCCAAACTTTTGTCAAACAGTTTGTCATACAGTGTCAAAAAGCACATAAGCAAGTCTATATGAGATTAAAAACTACTGGATACAGAATGACAGAGGTATGCAATAGCACGCAATTTGAATGATGTTAAATGGTTGGATTTAAGCTTCCACTGCTTATTAGCTGTATTAGCCTTGCGGCTAAAGAAGCAAACTTAAACAGCAAACATGTCTAGGCTGGCAGACTAAGCTACGGTTAAGAAGGACATTGTGTAAATCTGATTTTTCCCAAACTATTCCTTTAATGCAGAAGTTTTGGCTGGGATACCACAAATTATTGGACACGTCTAACGCAATCACTTCCATTCTCCTCTCTTTGTCTTTGATGGGATCTAGGGCAGAAATAGAAAACGCTGGAATGCTGACGACATCAAAAATGAGGAATCTTGAGACATGGTTTTGATTTTAGGATTGATCTCCCTCCCCCCCGCTAAAACGAATAAAGGTTTGGAAAGGATTTTTTTGCAAGCACTGAGGAAAAAAAGGGAACGCAAATCCCTAAGCAGAGTTTCTCTCAGTGAGAAATGTAAATGGTGACAAGAAGCTGACAGACGCAGAGAGTGAGCAGAATGCTAATTCACACACTCTCTAAGAGGGCACTGTTCACGCTTGACGTGACAGCCAGAATTCCTTTCAGCTTTTTTTCTTCTCTTCTCTCATTTACATGCTTGCATCTGAACGCCAAACTTTCAGAAAAACATCTTCACTAACAGCCATAAACACACAACCTTTCTGATACAAAGTACACAAACAACCTACAGACAACACCACACTACATTTGAAGCACTGCTGCAGACAAAAGAAGAGACAAGAAAACAAGTTCTGGAATGGCAGATATCATTCCCTGTCTCTGACCTGTACCAGTCGTAGAGTTCGATCTTGAAGGCCAGGTCCTCCAGGGAGATGCTGGGATTGTTCCAGAAGGGTATTTCCACCATCTGTTTGACCAGCTCATCCAGCTGGCCCTGTAACTTCTGCACAATAGACAGGTAGTCCGTGTGCTTCGCGTACTGAGTCTCCAAACCCTGCAAATTCTCGTCTACGGTCTGGTTCAGGGAGGTGGCGCTGTCTGATACCTACACACATACACCCACAGACAAATACCCGTTATGGTTTTGTATCTGAGGCTTACACCCAAGCTGGTGTTTCAGAGCTTTACATTTGAAAGTCTGCAGTATGAGGTGATTTCAGTGGTGATGATCAACAAATCAAAACATGCAGTAGAACAGTAATCAAAAAGTACATGCATGCAGGTACCATGCCCCTCAGGCCTGAACAGGAATTTATTAAAAATTACTGTATTCAAATTATTCAATACTTTTTTAAAGAAACATTTAATATTCAGTTAATATTTTAAATAAGGCAAACAACAGAAAACCATAAAATTCATTAGAATCGCTCTTACAAAATAACATGTCCCTTTAAGGTTACATCATACTTTTCCTTAGTATTAGATGTTATCGATGTTAATTAACGTTTAACAAACATTAGCTATGTTGCCCTCACAAAGCACTGTGTTCAATTTAGAGGGTGTCAATATGATATTTTATTGTTATCATGACAAACAATAAGCATTTCTGAGAATATTGTGGACATGTCGGCCATACTTAATGATCAACTGCAACTGATCAACTGCATATTTCACTAAAAAGAGAGCATAATTAGTTTTGTTTAACTGGATTTAGCGCAGTACAGTATGAGAAACGTTGACTAAAAAAAATGATTGCATTGGCTTTTTGATGGCAGTTTTCAAAAGCTGGCACTATTAGTGCATTTTGTCAAAACATTGTCGATATGTATTGTCATTTTGTGTTACGTGAAAATAAGTATTAAGATATGATTTTTTTACAATATCACCCAGTCCTAGTTTAACTACTACATTTCAACATGCCTGGTAATTTGCCTGTCATACAAGTAGGAGGCTAAAGCTGGACCACTGCGATTGAAAAATGCAGGTTGGCATAAAATAGTCGTTTTTTTTTCAGATCCTTACCAGTTTCTGTACTCCAGCCACAGTGCGGTTGGCATGGCGCAGTGAGTAAGTGAGCCGGTTCACTCCATCGCAGGTCTCTCCGTTCCCGTAGAAACCAACAGCAATGCCGGCACTATGGAGGGACAAAGAGAGAGTGGGCATGAGGAGGAGGCGGAGGAACAGAATGGAGGCCACAGTAAGTTTCTGAAAAAAGCCTCAGCACAGAGAACCTGGCAACCCTGTGGAGGAAGTCAGCAATGCCTTAAACCCTGCACATAACAGCAGGGAAATCAGAGAGGAGCCTCCATTCAGGACACTGGGCCATGATGACCAAAACAGAGCTGCCTCACAGGACAGTGCAATCAGGAAAGGGAGATGCTAAAGCTATTACAAGTATAATTCAGGAAAAAATCAAATCTATATACAACTTCCCCTTATGCCTTAAATGCAGTCAAGATATCAAGACATGTCTGACGTTTGCTTCTTAGTTTAGAAGGTATGGGTCCAATTTTAACAATTTCAGAAATGACATAGGAGGGTTAGTAAGCATGTGACGATTTAGGCATGTACAATGCCAATTTGTGGGCCTTCCATCACTTGTTCTCCTCACAGTTCAAGTGCAAAACTAAAGAAGGAGACTTAAGATACCAAACATGTCTTGGCTGATTATCTACATTTACAGCTACAGTTTTAATTCTGTATATTTTTTACTAAATGCTTCCAAGAAAGCTCTTATACAACTTCTAGACAAGTGAACCTGAAAAGTCTGAAGTCCATTTGACTGTAACTCACTCTGAAAGGCTTGTTGTTGTCAAAGTGGTCAGGCTGGACAATAGATTTTCCACTGGACTGATCAAAACTGCTGCACAGAAGTACATTCACACGTGCATAGACCCAATCAGAATGGAACTATAAAATCTAGATAACTCTAGCTTAGCTTACTATAGCTACCAGGTGCTCTGTGGACGTGTGGGTGGAGCATCTGAGGCTGAGACTTTAGTGTGAGGCACCCAATGAGGTTTAATTTTATACTGACCGTCACACTGACCAGGTGGGTACAAACTGATCTCAACGTGTAGGGAAACACAAAGTGACCAGTCGAGGCCATATGAGGATCAATAACACCCTGTGTTGAAACCCAACACTTGTACTTCACACTGATGGACTGTTAAGACAGATGCCGCTCTGAGAGTGAGACAGACACAAATCGATCAGTCCACTGGCTTCTACTGACCTACTCCGAAGACAGACCACATGGGGAATGTGCTGCCCCAAAAACAACATTAAAAGGGAGGTCTGTGTGACACTTTTCCCACAAGGGCTTTCCTACAGTTTTGCTATAGAGGTGTAAAAGTACTTTGGATAACAGCAATTCTCATCTACCAACACTGCTTAGCTACTAAAAATAGTAAGGGAGAAGCAGGAAAAAGTATCATTTTATTTTGTGCACCCTTTTGCACTTCTGACATTGATATAATGTCAAAGACCATCCTTCATTTACTTAATTTCCAGTGAAAATGACAGGTTATTCATTTTTCAGGAGATCGTGACTAGCAGAAAAAGCAACCAACTTGTAAGACTGAACTTTGGAAAAGACACACTAATTACTTAAGTGATATTTAGTTATGAAAAAGTGATATTTAGTTGTTGATGCTTCTGTGTTCTGTTACACATGTTCTGTTTTTCCTGGCACAGAAAAATAAAGAATTTGTACTTAACGGCAGTTTTAACTGAACATTAAATAAATAAAGGCTGGTGTCAGACTTTTACATAGCACTACCTAGTTTTTAAGCACTGTTTATTTTGTTTAACTTTAGTGTATAATACTGCAGGGCCTCGTTTTGCACGTATACTGGTGTAGCACTGTGCTTTAGTTCTGCACCGTGTTTGTAACTTGTACCGTCCAGAAAACATAAGCCCTGTCCAGTACATTGCACCGAGGCCATAGAGTTTGTTTTGTTCCTCTGTATACTTGCATATATACGGGTCATTGACGTATAAGGATTTTCAATAGGCCAATTTTAAAATACAGACAATAAGTATATCAATTGCAATTGTTCAAACACTGAGAATGTTGTGAACCCATAAATTCATATTTAAATTTTAGATTGTTATTTTAGCATTTTTTCATCTAGATGAATGGCTGTGGCCTTAAAAAAATTCATTTCCTTGACACACGTAACTTTTTTTTTTTACAAGTTCTCAGTAATATAAAGCATTTAGAAACAAAGGGTTTGCATTACTTTTGAGTTTTTTAAATAATGATCTCATATTTTTGTTCTGTAATGTCTCAGTCGCCTTCTTAAATGAAGTAACAGACTTATTTTTCCTGCAAATTGCATAAAACAAACTTTTTTTTAAAAAGCCATTAACTCAAACATACTGCATCAGCAATTAACATTTCAGCCACAAAAATGAGATTTTATTTTAAATTTAATACAGTTATTGCTATTATGTGTCACACCACATGATGGAGTCGACTCCAAATGACATGAATAATATTTTAAAAGATCAATAAACGGTAAATTCCATACAAAAAATAGATATGAACCAGTTTTATCATATTTCAAAGATTTGTCAAATGTTTCATAAACTTACTAAAAATCTTATCACAAATCATTATAAGTGCAGCACATTCACAGCTTTGTTTAGAACAAACATTTTATTTGACTTAACAATGGAATAAATTCATTTTGATTTTCAAATCATTTTGATCAGAACCAAAAATCCCACATTTGTAAAAGTGGGCGACAAAACAAATTCTATTGCTACTATACTATTTTTACCTATGGAACCTTTCCTTGCCATTTTTTCTCTGGTACACAGTAAAAAGATTCACAGTAAAAAAAATACTTAATGTGGTAACAAGGAAATGAACATTTTTTTTTTACTAACTAAACAATTACTTGGAATGAACATTTTTTTTTATTCAAAGTAAATTGTACAGTTGAGTACAGCTAATTCAATTGTTACCAAAAAGTATTTTTTTTAGGTAGAACTGAAGAAACTTCTTACAGTGTAGCTAAAACAGTGATGTAATACAGCATCATGCCATAAATCTGCGTTGTATAGTTTATTTTCATTTTGGACTAATGATAGATGATAGCAGATGCAATGTTACCAAAAATGCATTTCCTCCAGGTAATGAAAAAATACACAAGAGCAATTTTTATTTTTAAAAATTAAAAAAAAAATTACATTCACTTCTCTTCTCTTCGCAAGGTACTCTACTCTTGCTACAGAGTCAGAATTAACATGTCATCATTTGAATATAAAGCACAAAAACTGCCAATCTACGACATATATCTATTATAGAAAACACTCTGCATCGGTCGCACCACATGATATTTAAGTTCAGTCAAAATTTACCAGCACAGAATTGGCCACCGAAAGAAAATAAGCTAGCTTTCCACAAAAGGTAACTATGAAATTAATAATGAAAATATATATTTGTAGAAATAATTTAATATTCATTATTTTTTTGAGGTCATACCACATGATGTACAAAAGTGGCAGCGACATGCCAGCTGTTAAAAAGATTATTTTTTCCCAAATTTCAGAGAGACTTACAAATTTGCCTGCTGCTTCCATGGGTCCTTGGCAAACTGCTATATGACGCAATCTCCTGGTTTTGAGATGGTTTTAACATAAACGTCCCAAAGTGGTTGTTTCTTGATGGTTACACCACATGATATTTCATAAAATGGACATCATCGGACAAAGTTTGCTTTGTATATTATGATGGAAATAAACTTAGAAATGCTTTGCAGTTTTGAACAGGACTACAAAACACTTTGGGAATCATGCCAAATTGGATAAAAAATAAAAATGAATAGATTTAGAGTAATTTTAAAGAAGTTTTCAAAACAGCAGCGACGGACGGTCGCACCGCATGATATTTTGACCCTTTAAGTAACAGGAAAATTACCATTAACTAATATTTTTTGAAAAGTTAAAGTGAGCAGATATGTGGGAGAAGTACTACATATATATAGTACCTTTTTTCTGCAGTTAAACCTTTTTTAAACTGAAAAAAATGTTGTCGGACAGAAAATTTAGGCGTCACGTCATTGACCCACACACAGGATGACAGACAGGATAGGTGACGAGAGTCATCAGTAACTTCTTGAATCCAGCTTGTTGCTCCACCACCAGGTGGCACTAGAATACACCATCAATGTGGGCATTTCCTCCGCCTTGATTTCATTCCTCCCTCTCTAGTATGTCACCCAACTCCATTGTAAAGAGCTCAATAGGCGTCACAATCAGTGGCCCCACACAGGCCGGGGGGCTTTGCGGAGCTCCGACTGCCTGAACAAAGACCCATTGAGCTGAGGGCCTAGACTGTGGCTCTCAGCTGGAGCACCACCACCACTCAAGGAGCATTTCTTGTGTCAGACAGCCTGGTGGCTGGCCTGGTCAGCTCTTCAAGTGCCTACCTGCAGACCGCCAGGGAGCCCTGCTACAGAGTATGGATGAGCATTATAAGCATTTCTGATATTCGAATATCTGCATTTTTAAACAAATACCATTTGTTTATTGTATGTATAAGAGATAACTAGCATAAGAAGTATTTCTACCTTCTAGATTTAGTCTTGGATTCCAGAATTATCTTATTTCCAGCACGTGGGACTTAAGACGGTTTTAGCTGATCTACAGATTGACAAGAGTTGAATAAATGTAAACTACACAAATGAACTGCTTGACATTCCTGACAGTCTCCAAACTACACCAAACTTTATTCCGAACTACCTGCCTTATTCAAATACCAAATAAAAATATAAAGTCGACAAATACAAGGATTAGTCTGCATATCTGTATTCAAATAAGCCCATCCCTACTACAGAGGTCAAATACGGACATGGGGTGAACTTGCTGCTTTCAAAAAGCAAATGTGAAATTAGACAAAAGGATGAGTCAGGAAACACTGCCTGCCAGGAAGAAGTGAAAACAGCAGTGGTAGCTTGTGACGGTTTGTGCTTAGCAGTAGGTGTTACGAACTTGTGTATCGGACAAACAGAGTTCAGATTTCCTCCCTTCGCCAACTACGATTTGCAGTTTTTAGTTCACTGGTGCTGGGGCTTGCTGGGACAGGCCTCTAGAGATCAGGAGCGAGACGTCACCCTGTTGTCT